AGCAGATGGTGATTTTGGATCCTCCCCCTGTGATTTTGACTCAGCAGATGGTGATTTTGGATCTTCATCCCAGGAGTTCCTCTCAACAGGTGACTTTGGATAATCTTCAGCGGAGTTCTGCTCAAGAGAAGGCGATTTTGGATAATCTTCAGCGGAGTTCTGCTCAAGAGAAGGTGATTTTAGATAATCCTCAGGGGAGTTCTGCTTAAGAGAAGGTGATTTTGGATAATCATCAGGGGAGTTCTGCTCAAGAGAAGGTGATTTTGGATAATCCTCAGGAGAGTTCTGCTCGACAAAAGCTGACTTTGGGTCACGGTTAGGAGAGTTCGGCTCAAGAGAAGGTGATTTTGGATAAACCTCAGGGGAGTTCGGCTCAAAAGAAGCTGGTCTCAGATCACTGTCAGGAGAGTCCGGCTCAACAGAAGCTGGTTTCGGATCACTGTCAGGAGAGTCCGGCTCAACAGAAGCTGGTTTTGGATCACTGACAGGAGAGTTCGGCACAACAGAAGCCGGTTTCGGATCACTGTCAGGAGAGTCCGGCTCAACAGAAGCTGGTTTTGGGTCACTGTCAGGAGAGTTCGGCACAACAGAAGCTGGTTTCGGATCATCATCAACTGATTTTGGCTCATCAACCGGCATTATTTTCTCATCAGCAGGCGTCCCTTCCTCCACCTTGTTTATTGTATCCCCAATCCAAACAGAAAATGAATGAGATGATTAATAAAAAATCAATTTCAAAGCTGCTATAAAAAAATGAATGCAGTTTATGAATTACCTCTTCCAGAGTTCTTATCATATTGGGAAATGGTTTCAGCTATGGGATTGAAACCTGCATGTTTTAAATAGTTGAATATTAGCATTAACATTTTGAGTTACATATCCCAATACTACTAATACAGATTGAATGATAAAAAAGAAATTAAGCAAACTAGAAAAGAAAAGGAATAAAAAATATTCAAAGAATCTAAACTAACAGTAACCAAATTAAGCAAACAATTATTATATATTAATACAAAACAGCATGAAGAAAGCAATGCAATTAAGCAAATCACAGAAAAACATGATAATTATTAACAACTGTGAAAGTGATGGAAGAAAAATTGAACAGTGTAGAAATGCGATAATTTGATGGAACAAGAAGAGTCAAGATTGAAGTAATGAAGATCCATAACATGAAATCGTAAAGTAATAGAAGTTGCAAGAAAGTGCATGAAAATTAGAGTGACCTAACATGAAAATCGTAAAGTAATAAAAGTAGCAAGAATTTGCATGAAAATCAAAGTGACCTTAGCATGAAAATCAAAGTGACCTAACATGAAAATCAAGAAGTTTCTGCTATGGTGTAATTTGATGGAACCAGAAGAATCAAGATCGAGGTAATGAAGATCCATAACATGAAATCGTAAAGTAATAAAAGTTGCAATAAAGTGCATGAAAATCAAAGGCAAGTTTCTGCTATGGTGTAGAATTCATTCAAGAAATGAAAGTTGAAATGATAAAGAGCGATTGAGAATTAGAAAAAGAACGAAAATGCAGAGAGAGAAAGTGATTGAACCTTGAGAGAGAGAGAGAGACTGAGAGAGTGTGAGTGTGAGTGCAATGCAACTGAATTCCAAATAACTGCTAACTGATTTTTAGAATTCGATGCAATGTAACTGTTTTATAATAGGAGAATATACACGCGTTCATGATTTTCATTGTTATTCCTAAATATGACATATAAAATATTATTTAAGTAATCCAATTTTTTCTAAAGAGCAACATGCAAATAGTAATATATAATTAAAAAAAAGATAAAATAAAAATACATCACTAATTTAAAATAATATTATATTATCAATCAATCATTAATGTATATTATAAATTTATTCAAGTGAGTTGACAAATTATTAGTTTGTTATTAAATAAGAATGTATAGTGTCTATCAATTAAAAAATGAATTTATTATGCAATAAAAAATGTTTTTTAAAGAAAGAATTTCCATATTGGTGATAAATTACAACTATTAATTTTCATATTAAAAAATTATGTTTATGAATAGTTCTGGATGTTCTAATAGTATAAATTTTTTACTATAGATCTACACCATTGAACCATAATTCTCCATCTTGATGGATCTTTACTTACAGATTGCGGAATACAAAATCTTTAATGTATGAGATTCATTTACGTATAATATTCTATAATCTTTACATAGAGACCTAGGAATATAACTTTATATAGTAAATATCATTGAATCTTTACATTAACTTTTCCTATAAATGTCACATTGACATTAATTTGACTAAGGAATACCGAAAGAAAAACAAAACATTCATATATTTTAGATTCGAGAATCGAGAGGAGAGAGAAGAGATAACAAAATAATTATTTATTTTTATAAGAAGTGTTATTTGTTTCACAAGTGAATCATCAACAACATCTCTTATAAAGTGAGAGAGAATAGCTTATTTATCGACTATTAGTATATATATCTAATGTATAAAGATTAAACCATTACATGACATATATAATTATTTCATACATGTTAAATGCTACATTATACATGAACAAGTCTCGACTACAACACTTTCACTTTGTAAAAATCTCCCGTCTTCAACTTTATCGAAAAAGTAGAGCTACATGCAATGCGTTTGAGTTCGATCCAACTAACTTCTTAAAACAAGCTGCAAATCTTCACCTTAAAATTAACTCCAAACCATAAAATAGACTAACTATCATCATGCAGTTTTATCAAATGAATACAATGGAAGAATTTGCAATTTGACAATGACTTGGTGATCATATCAACAACATTGTGATTGATCGAAACCTTCATCACCATTATTTCACCTTTTTCATTTTTTTTCTCTAGTAAAATACAACCTAACATCAATATGTTTTGTCCTTTCATGATAAGTTGAATTCTTCGACAAATGTATGACACTTTGACTATCACATTTAACAGTGATTGTCTGACCTTAAAGTTTCAGCTCCTTAGCAAAACGTTAAAGCCACAATGCTTCTTTCACAACTTCAGTGAAGGCAATGCATTATGTTTCAGTGGTTGATAAGGCTACAATCTTCTGAAGTGTTGTTTTCTAACTAATTGTTATGTCGAACATAATAAAAACGTATCCAGACTGAAATTTTCTGGTGTCCATGCATCCTGCACAATTAGAGTCCACAAATCCTTCGATTTTCCTTTGGTCATCTTGACCTCTGGCTCACCATAAATCAGGACCCTGCTTGGGGATCATTTTATGTATTTTAAGATCAATTTCAAAACTTGCCAATGAGCTTTTCCAGAGTTAACCATGTACCTACTTACAAAGACTTACTGTAAAAGCTATGTCTGACCTAGTACAAACCATAACGTACATCAAAGAACCCACTATAATAGCATATGGAACGCTATCTATACAGGCCATTTCGACTTCAGTACTAGGAACTTGAGTTATACTCTATTTGAATTGTTGGCGTTATAACAATTTTTTAGTTCGACTTACCAAACCTGTCGAGAATCTTCCTTAGATATGACTTTTGAGATAAGCATAATGTCGACTGCTTCCTATCTCACTTGATGTCAATACCCAGGATCGTGGTTGCAGCTCTAAGGTCATTCATTTCGAATTCCTGGTTGAGTCTAGCTTTCGCTCTCATTACTCTTTCGACGTGGTTGCTTGCTATGAGGATGTCATCTACATAGAACAATAAGACGACAAATCAACTTTTCAGATGAGGACGTGAAACACACACAATGATCGAAATTGCTCCTTGTGAAACATATGTGTGCCATGAAACCAAATTAATTCTAAGTGGTTTGAGTCTATTTTCTTAATCTTTGTTGAATCACTCTTTCTCATCATAGCTTTATGGTCAGACTTATAAGTTTAATATTTCTATAATTTGCACAATTTTGTATATTCCCTTGTTCTTATGGATTAGAACTAAAATGTGTTTTTTTAACTCATCCGGCATTTGCTTTGACTTCATAATTGTATTAAAGAGTTTGGTGAGTCACTAAATACTTCTATCTCTAAAATAATTTCACACTTCAACATGCATGTTGTTTGGCCCAACCACTTTAATGTTACTTATCATTTTCAATGCTTCCTTTACCTCTTGTTTCTGACCGTAGTAGTTATAATTCTGATTCTCTTCTCTAATGTTCTTGTAGAAGTATGTCTTTCATCTATCCTTTATATCTTTTCTTGAACCAAGACTTTGCCTTCTTCATCTTTAACACACTTCACTTGATCCATTAATTAAAATATCAATAAATTGTAGGTATAAATACAATAAAATAGAACACTAATCAATAAGTTATATAGTAAGCCGTAAATATTAATAATAATTAAATTAAAGTTCAATCATTCCGTTTTCATTTTTCTTTGATATATCACACATATTGTAGTTATGATTTTTCGTTACAAAACAAAACAAAGGAAAAGAGAAAACAGATTCTTAATAATAAATGCTCCTAGCTTCAATAAATGATCAAACTAACAAAATGACCTAAATATGCATATTCCATTCAAAGACAAATATGTTTTTCTTCTCTTGGAAGTTATAGATTCTTTCTGCCATAGTTGGTAATGTATGAGCATCTTTTTCTAAGAAAACATAATCATCCAACAAAAAAGCAACAATATCACATTCATTCTTCTCCTTTTTCCATATGATTGATCATGTAAAGTTTCTATCAATGTAGCTTACAATAGAAAAATAATCAGTTGCACATGGACTTGACTCAAATAGTATTGTCTCATTGTGCATCTAATCATATCTTCATCACCTTTCACCTCTATATAACAAGAATAACACATATATACACACATCCACAATCATATCAGCAATCTCTACCGGCTTTTAACCGGACGGTGTGTTGTGTTTTCTGCAACTTCACTTCGGTAAAAGCCAAATTAATGCTTGTGGTTATGATCTTCAAGTAGTTTAGAATTTCGTTGAGGCAAAAATACCGCGTTACAAAATTTATTTTCAGAGGTTTCTTCAAATGATCATGTACAAATGGCCTCGACCGAGAGTTTCTTCAAGACATTTGGACATGGATCTCCGCCAAAATTTTCAGGCGACACCGTTACCTTGCATGAGTTCTGTCCAACACAATTCTGCAACAACAGAAGTCACAAAATGGATGTGTGACGGTTTTGATAGGTTGACAGTGTAAAAAATCTCTATCGAAAACTATGTTTAGCTATATATAGCAATACCTTTTCAAAAGCATTATAAGACTTGTGAGCATGGCAGCTTCCTTCATGAAAGTTTCCGCAAGACCCTACCGGAGTACCAAAGCTAGCGAATTTGATCGATGATATTTTCTGTCCAGGGCCACATGATAGATGTGCTTTTGGTCTAATAGGTTTTGTAGATTTGCCAGAACTTTGCATTTGATAACTTATAAGATTCGGTTGCCACTCGTAAATATCAGCACATACAGTGTCTATATCCCTTCTAACCAAAAAGATTCCATTCGGATCTCCGCCCAGTTCTTCAAACACAACCAATAGATTTCCGGTTGGTTCCAACCACGAACGAGGGACGTGATACCTGAAATTACCATACAGTGATTAGTTTGTCGAATAGTTTCTCGTCAGCATTAAACAAAACTACGATACAAGCTTTATGTTTCTCACTCACCATCTTTGAGAAGCCTCGCCGCAGTTACTTCTACATTTATTCTCATTATAAGTTCCTGCATAGTCACAGTTATCACATTTACCAGATGCTGCTTTATAAGCAGGCCAGTAACGGCCGAGATTCTGTCCGTTTAACCACACTTGTCCTTTTCCCATGCTTCCCATGTCTAAAGCAAACGGTGCAACTCCGGCCGGGGCATCGAAAGTAGTTTTGTACCAAGTTAACGGCTGCATTTGAGAAACTAAACTCCCTTGAACCCAATCCACTGAAGAACTTCCGCTAAGAGAATGAAGACTCAACGCTTCACCATTGAGACCAACCTAAATAAAATGGTAATTAGAATGAATTTCGAGCCAAATCAGGTAATATAGAGAGGGAAAAAAAAGCACGGTGAATGTTTGAGGCAGAACCTTGTAAGACCATTTCTGCCAAGACAAGTCCCGTCTACCTTCATCAAGACCATTTAACGTAATCGGGCCGAGAACACCAGCATTCCATGTTTCGAAATGAGGGCCAACATTCTGTGATTCGATAACAAGCAGCAAGTAAGGAATATAGAATTGTCATGAAAGATGATAATACAAAAATACAGTTCACGATTCCGACATATTAACTTAGTATCGTAATGAGGTTTCTAACAATATATTTTTCAGCGCATCTGTGTGCGCGCGAGAGAGAGAGAACGTACCGGGAGTCCAACTGCAACACTTAGAAGAGATATTTTGTTGACACCAGGTCTGAGCTTCACACTCTGGCTAAATGTTAGCTTGGGGAATTCCAAGCTTCCATATATAGTTCCTAATCAAAATTATTTATATGATAAGCGCTTAATTAAGTTATTGGTCTCGTCGATGAATTTAGTGTTAATGAAAATTGTAATGCAGGGTTGTGCTCCTTACCTGACAGCTGACCGTTGACGAAAACATGCATAGCATGCCCAGCAGATAGCACTGTAAGAACAGGATCGTTTCCACTTCTCAAAAATCCTTCATTGGGATCAATTACAACACTGGCAAAAAAAAGAGAACTATAAGACATGGAAAAACCAAAAGGAATGATTGAGAGTTACGGTTTGAAAACTTCTGAGTTGTTTATTACTCACTCTGTGGAGTACCACAAGTAATCGGTTAAATCTCTTGTTGTATTTAACTGCTCCAGTAGACCAGTCATGGTGAAGGAACTATCATCAGTTGAGGCTGTTTGTTCAGAAAACACTTCCCAAGAGAGTCCACCGTGAATAGGAATGGGACTCATCTTCATCTGGGCACTCTGCGAACCAACCTGCATAAAGATTTTGGAAAACTTTAGTTTTAAATTCACTTGATCACATATATTTGGTCAAGCTCATGTGAATTAAAAATGCTTTTTTCCTGTCTCACCCTTGCGGTGTTATAAACCGTTGTTTTGCAGTCAGGAAGAATGCTTATAGACCAAGGAGGCAAGTTGTAATGCATATTTCCAAACGGCACTGTTGCAAAAGATTTTGGATTATAGTTTGCGAGAAACGCAGCACAAGCTCCCGACTTTGATTTAAACACATGAGCCTGCATGAAAACGACAGAAGACAAAAATCAGTCATGCTATAAAGCATTTTAAATAGGTTTGATAATTTTCACATAACTGAAACAAACAAGTCATGCATACCTCTTGATAGTTTCCGATCCGTGTAAGGGTAGGATCTCCAGAAACTAAAGCCGGTTCGGAGAGTTTTATCGCTCGGTGTAAATCCTTCAGATGACCCCATTTTGGTTGCCTCAGCAATCCTACATAGAGAAGAAACAAAATTCAGAAACCTACTTGTGTGTATAAAATGTATATAAAGTATGTTAATCTTCTTATCGGTTATGTTTAAGTATTTGAATCCTTTGCTTACCATATTCATCCAAAGGTGCGTCATAGTCGTAGCTTGTAGCAATGAATGGACCACCAGCAGTTCTACCGAAATTTGTTCCTCCATGATACTAAAATGAACGAAACAAAAGGCCGAGTTCAATATTTAAATATAATGAATCCTTACAATTACACATTAAACTCGACAAACAATGAAGTTACCATGTAATAATTGATAAACGATCCCCCTTTTTGTATAAATCTTGCAATTGAAAACGCCAAGTCTTCAGCAGGTCGGTGAGGTACCGGACCTCCAAACTCGGTAAACCTGCAAACATAAAAGAGGAATGGAAACAACATATAGTCAAGTTATATCTATATTGCATTTATCTTATTCTTAATGGAAACCTAAGAAAGAAGATACAAGTCATCATTACCATCCCGTCCAAGCTTCTGTCCACATCTTCGGTTTATAAGCCTTATTCGGAGAGAAATAATCGCAATAGAAGCCATTGCAGGTGTTAATCTGTACAATGTTTAACGTCGAAATTAGAAGATGAAATCCATGGAGGCATAAAAGAATGTATCAAGAATAAAATGTTTTCTCAAAAACAAAAAGAACAATTCAGCCGAACTTACAACAGGATCGGGAGCATCATCTTGCTTGCACATTATCCAGGGAACTCCGGTACTGAGTCCTATAGCCATATCTGCTGCCCATTTCGTATAGGATTTACCAGGGGCACCAATTTCATACTCCATAGGTCCATATTCATTTTCAATCTATACAAAATCAAAATTCTTGTCGATAAATAAAACCTATAAGATACTATAAAAGCAAAGTTGAGTTAAGTAGAAAGCTAGTAGTATCTTTTAATTTACCTGTGATAGAATTATTGGACCACCTTGAGACTCATATAACCTTTCTTCTTTCATCATATTAACAATCTTCTCAGTAAACTTTTGCATTTGAAACTTCATTATGGCAATGTAAAAACCAAATGAAAATAATGAGAATCTTCACAATTCCTAAGGTATAATAATAACAGAAATGTTACCTTAAATGGTTCATTGTCTGTTCTGAAACTGATTCCAGGAATGTATTTCAACCAAACAGGAAAACCCCTGAAAAACCAATTAAGCAAAATCTAGTTTCACATGTGTCAAATATTTTTTCCAAAAAAAGAGGAAAAAGAACAATTACCCTACCCAAAGTTCCACTCAGCACAAACATATGGACCAATCCTTAGATGAACATAGAGACCAGCTTGCTGCACCAACTTTATGAACTTCACCAAATCATAGTTTCCCTCAAAATAATACTACACCATTCAAGAAAACAAAACAAAAAAATTATTTTCACTAATCACTTATGCACTTAATCAATTATGCACTTAATTGCTTATGCACTGTTTAAGCAAAAAACTACTACTAAAAACGGCATTGTTTTATCATAAGATATTTACTTTGCCAGGTGAAGGTTCATGTCCATTCCAGAAAACATAAGTCTGAATCACATCTAAACCTCCTTCTTTAGCCTTCTGAATAAGATCTGGCCACATCTGAAGAAAAAAAAAACATAGTTAATCAAACCACATAAAATACATAAGAAGAAAAAAGGAAGAAACTTTAAGATACCCATTAGACTAAAAAGAAGAAAACACAATGACTCAGAAGCTCATTCATAAAAATACCTCAGGGGTGCTTCTTGGATAATGAATGGATCCAGAAATGAGAACCCTTCTTTGACCATTAATGGTGATAGCTTTAGAGTCATAAGAGACAGAAGCTGTAGCAGAACCAATAAGAGAACATAGCAGAAGAATCAGTGTAGACATGTTCCACATTATGAGCTTGAAGTCGTTGAACAATGGATGATAAACCTTATCTTATCTTTCAAGATGGTAAAGTGAAAGAAGTGAGATGAAAACTGAAGAGGAAGGAAGTAACAAAGAAAAAGCTTTGATTCTACTTTTTCTTCTCTTCACACTATTGTTGTTTTGTTTTTGAGTTCACTTTTTCTTTTTGCAGAATGATAAATAAATGAAAAGGAGATAAAGATGTATTAAAAAAATGTGTAAAGAACAGCTATGAGTTTGAGAGAGACAGTGTTTAATGTTTTTTTGAGGGAAATGAGGTTAAATTAAAGGTGGTACATTAGTAATATTAAAATGAGTTTAATTTGGTAGGAAAATGTGGAGTGGTTTGCAGCTGCATTTATAGAGTGATGAAGAATCATTGAATGAAAGAGTTGTAGGACAGTGAAAAAGAGACTGAGACCCCACAGAGCACTTGTCTTTATTTGTCACTCTGTGATGCCGACATTGGCCCAATCAAACCCCATGATTTAAGATTTATGCACTTTTTTATTTCTTTGCTTATGTAAGTTTCAATTACAATCCTATAACAGTAGTGTAGTTTTTTTTTTTTGACAATGATCTATAATAGTAGTATTAATAATGGTTAATAATTAAGATTTGTTAATCTATATATATATATATATATATATATATATATATATATATATATATATATATATATATATATATATATATATATATATATATATATATATAAGGATATCTAGGATTCTGCACTGAGAAAATCGATAATTAACACATGACGTCTTTTGTTATTTCGTTTATGTAACTGAGGATAAATTAATTTTGCGTTTAAGGTTAAGTGTGTTTTTTATACCATAGTGAGCAATAATTAACATGTTTTACCTCTGACCAACAATAGTTAGAATGTTTCACCCTTAAACAACACTAGTCAACTTGATTTACCTATAGACACTATTGGTGAACCTCTTCCACCTCTTAGAAAATCCACAAGAACCAAAATCACTCATGCTTACCTAGATGATTTTGTTTGCAATGCATATCATTCGCTCATTCTTTATGACATTTCTAAATATATTTTCTATCATAACACTTTTCTCGCATTTTATTCTTTCATATTTCTTGTTACTACATCTTGTGATCCAACCACTTACAAACATGGCATCAATCATCTTCATTGGATCAAAATCATGAACATTGAAATTCTATCTCTCACTGACAATAAGACTTGGATCTTCACCACCCTGCCACTAAGTAAAATGACTACTTGCTATAAATGGGTATATAAAACAAAATTTCATACTAATGGCACCATTGAAAGATATAAAGTAAGGTTAGTGGTCAAAGTATTCACACAAGTGGAAGCTTGATAAGAACACAAGAATGGAACAAAAATGAAAAGGATGAAGATAGAAATTTATATAGATAATTTTAGAATATTACAACTCAGGTTTTCGAGAACCTGTCTCTCCTAATTCAAATCCTTCCTAATTTTCCAGAATGCTTTCCTAATTCTGGTTTGCTTATATTTATACTGTATTTAACATTTGTTCCTAATTGGTACGATTAATCTGAAGGGTTGTGACTGTTAAATTTGATGTTGTTTGGTTCCAAGGGTTGCATCCTTTTGGATGGGCGTGTCTATTCACCAATGGTCACGCTCCTTGATTCACATCTCTTGATCCTGCACTCCTTGGACATCGCTGCCTGCAGGTGTAAAACTTGGTGATGGGTGGCCTAGGCTTATCAATACCCCCCGCCTAAAAGACTCGCCTTGTCCTCAAGGTGATAATCTGAGAAAACCTCTTATAATTTAGCCACAGATTCCCAACTATTTTCACTTGTAGGGAGATTTTTCCATTTAACTAAGACTTCCACGTTGCCAGGTTGTAACTCGCGAAATATCTAAAATAGCGTCCGGATAAACCTGTAATTCCTGATCCTCAGATAGCATAGGTGGTAAAGGTTGTGATTGGAAAGAGTCACCAATGACCTTCTTGAGGAGATAGACATGAAAGACTGGATAATTTTACTGTGAGATGGAAGATCCAATTTGTAAGCAACAACACCCACTTTTTTTAACACCTGGAAAGGACCATAAAATCGAGGGAAGAGTTTTTCATTAATCCTTTTAGCCAAGGATCTTCTCTTGTAAGGTTGCATCTTCAAGAACACCCAATCACCGATTTCATATTCTATATCTCGGCGGTGTTTGTTGGCATTTGCACGTGTGCCATCTTGGGACTTCAACAAATTCTCTCTCAGAGCCGCCAATAATTCATCCCGAGCAATTGTAAGTTTGTTGACTTCTTCAAGGCGGGAAGGAATGGTGGATCCCTTAAGAATGTGAGGTAGATCATGTCCATACAACGCTTTGAAAGGGGACATTTTGCTTGAAGCATTATAATTGGTGTTAAACCAGAATTCTTCCCAGGGAAGACAAGACACCCATTTCTTTGGCTTAGTACCTGTTAAGCATCGTAAATAAACTTCCAAGCATCGATTGACAACTTCCGTTTGTCCATCCGTTTGAGGGTGGTATGCCGAACTGAATTTTAGTTGTGTTCTTGCTGCTTTAAAAATGGCTTTCCAAAAATTGCTTTAAAATAAAGGATCGCGATATGAAACAATGGAAGACGGAAATCCATGCAATCTTACAATTTCCTGTAGAAAAACTGCAGCAACATCGGTAGCGGTGTAAGGATGCCCTAATGGTATGAAGTAGGCATATTTGGTGAGCCGGTCAACCACCACCAGAATTGTATCCTTCCCCATAGATTTGGGTAGTCCTCCAATAAAATCCATCGAAATGTCTGTCCATACTTGAGTAGGAATTGGTAATGGTTGTAACAGTCCTGCTGGTGATAAGTTATCGCTTTTGTTTCTTTGACAGACTTCGCAAGTTGCAACGAAATTCTTGATGTCGGTTTTCATCCCTTCCCAATAAACTAGATCTGCTATTCTTTTATAAGTCTTGAAGATTCCTGAGTGTCCTCCTACCAAGGATGAATGAAATTCTTTTAAAATGATGGGAATTCTAGAGGACGATTTGGACAACACCAATTTCTCCTTGTAAAATAGTTTCTGATCCCTTAACGTGTAGCCAGCATGAGACATAGGATTGATAATTAGGTCTTGCATGATTTTCTATAACTTGACATCTTGTTTGATCTCTTCAGCCCATTCCTCGAAATCGTGAATTTGTAAGATTGTCATGGCATAATAAGAACTTCTCCTGGATATGGCATCGGCAGCAGAGTTTTCCTTCCCTGGTTTGTACTGCATTTCAAAATCATATCCTGCTAATTTGGAAATCCATTTGTACTGTTCCTCATCGACCATCCTCTGATCTGTCAAAAATTTCAAACTTTTTTGGTCAATTTTAATAATAAAATGGTTTCTCAACAAGTAGTGTCGCCATTTCTGAACTGCTTTTACGACTGCCATCAATTCACGTTCATACACTGATTTCTTCTGATTCCTTTCTGATAGGGTAGTACTCCAAAAGGCTAGGGGTCTTCCTTCTTGCATTAGAACAACCCCTAGTCCGGTTCGGCAAGCATCTGTTTCAACCACAAAGGGTTGTGAAAAGTTGGGTACGGCTAATATAGGCAATTTGGTCATGGCTTGCTTTAGTTGTTCGAAAGCAAGTTGTGCCTCCGGACTCCATTGGAAGGCTTTTTTCTTCAACAGGTTGGTCAATGGTCTTGCTATTCTTCCATAATCATGAACAAACCTCCTATAATAGCCAGTAAGGCCTAGAAATCCTCTTAAGCTGGTGACATCCTTGGGTAAAGGCCATAATGTCATTGCTTCCAACTTCTTAGGATCCGCGGATACTCCTCCAGCAGATATAACATGTCCCAGATATTCCAAGTCATCTTGGCCAAATGAGCCCTTCTTGCCGTTGATCTTCAATTCATTTTATTGGAGTAACATTAATACTTTTTGCAGATGTTGCTTGTGTTCTTCCATAGTCGGGCTGTATATTAGGATATCATCGAAGAATACCAAAACATATTTTCGGAGTACTGGACTTAATACTTCATTCATTAATGATTGAAAATAAGAAGGTGTGTTAGTAAGTCCAAATGGAAGTACCATAAATTCATAATGACCTTCATGTGTTCGGAAAGCAGTTTTTGCAATATCCTATTCCTTCATTCTGATTTGGTGGTATCCGAATCTTAAATCCAGTTTTGAAAAGATGTTGGCCCCTCCTATTTCGTCCAACAACTCTTCAATCACCGGGATAGGAAATTTGTCGAGAACAATGATTTTGTTCAAGGCCCTGTAATCTACACAAAACCGCCAACTACCGTCTTTCTTTCTGACTAGGATGACAGGACTAGAATACGGACTCGTAGATGGTCAGATGGTTCCCGCTTCTAACATTTCCGCAACCAATTTTTCAATTTCTGTTTTTTGATAGTGAGGATATCTGTATGGTCTTATATTTGGTATTTGTGCTCCTTCTTTGAGGTGAATGGCATGGTCTTGACGCTGATGAGGAGGAAGTCCTTCTGGGGGTTCAAAGATGGAAGGGAAATCATGTAGCACATCTTTTAATTCTGACGGGATTGAATCCTTCCAATCTATCTCTGCTTGAATATGATGATAATCGATAAGGAACTCTTCGCCTTGCTGCAAAGCTTTCAACATAGCATTAAGTGAGGCGTCTTTCTTTGAAAGTTTTGGTTCTCCCTTTAAAATCACCTTTCTGACATTAATCTTGAAGCCCAACATTAGTTGTTCAAAGTTGGCATTAATCTCTCCCAAGCTTGCTAGCCATTCCATGCCTAAAACCACATCCACGCCTCCGAGGCCAAACAAGAAGAATTGTTGTTGTACTCGTACTTCTTGCACTTTCAAGGGAACCTTTCGGCATACTCCCTTACATTTGATTTTGTGACCATCTCCGACTTCTACAATGTATGATGGGGTGTCTTCTACCTCTAATTGTAATTTTTCCACCAGTTCCTTCGAAATGAAGTTGTGGGTGGCGC